TCAAATCATCCACCCTAAACTCTAAAACAAATCTCGATTTCAATTAATAACAGGCTAAACCAAAACTCCTCTAATGAAAGTGTATTCAATTCTTCTAAACGAATATTAGAAGATACCCTTAAAAAAAGCGGTTTTGAAAATTTTGAACTAAAATTTGACCCCGAAAAAAAGAATAGAAAAAAGCGAAATAGAACGAGAAATTTAATATGGTTTAATAGCCCATATAGCAAAAATGTTTCCATTAACATAGGAAAAATGTTTTTAAAATTGGTCAATAAGCATTTCCCGCCTTCTAATAAATTACATAAAATTTTTAATCGAAATACAATTTAAGCCACAATTGCACAAAAAATATAGAAAGCATTATAGAAGGTCACAATAACGCTTTGTTAAACAAAAAAGAAACCCTAACTGAAAAAACTACAGAAAATTGTAATTGTAAACAAAAAAAATAATTGTTCAATGAGTGGAAGGTGTTAGTCAAAAAATGCGGTATATAAATGTGTTATTTTCTCAAAGAATGTACCTGATAAACAATATATTCCCATAACAGAGGGTGAATGGAAAAAATGTTTTGCCAATCATAAGCAACTTTTAAAAAAAAAAAAGTATTCAAGACACCATGCTGTCGAAATATATATAGGAATTAAAAGATAAAAATATTGATGATTTTATATTGAGTTGGTCCATCCTTAAAACAGCGCCTACATATAACAATATTTCCAAAAAATTTATATTATGCCTGCAAGAAAAATTTAAAACAATTACACATGCAAACCAAGAATGTTTATTAAATAAAAAATCGGAATTAATTTCTAAATGCAGACACAAAAATAAGTTTCTCCTAGAAAACTATAAAAACAGATGAGCTCAAATAATAGTTACATTAAGTCCCCCTAAAAATATTTTTCTAAAAAAGCATAAGTAATCATTTCCAAAGAATTCTTTTTATAACAGTGTCAGCAAATTCCACAAATGTGTGAAAATTTACAAAAGTTAAGACATTTGCAACTTCCAACAATTTAATTTTTGGTATAAATTGAAATTTTATTAGTTTGATCATTCTTTTCTATTGCCCCCGACAATAGGGTATTTCAGTATGACATCAGAATGCTTATCTAAACATGAAAATTCTCCTATAATATAAGTCATATATATATATATATATATATATATATATATATATATATATATATATATATATATATATATATATATATATATATATATATATATATATATATATATATATATATATATATATATATATATATATATATATATATATATATATATATATATATATATATATACATATATATATATATATATATATAAAAAGAAAAAAATGATATTTTTTAATCTTCACATACTAAATCTTCAAAAGATAAATTACAATTTGAAACACTAATAAAATCAAAATTAATTGTCTGTTAATATTTCTCTGTAATGCCTTTATATTTTGATTTTATATTCCAGATTTTCAAATAGTAATTTTATCTTCTGAAAATGTGGTATGTAAACTAGGAAACATGTCAAGATTGAGCTAATAAACAACAAAAAATTTAGAGATTAATATAAAAATAAAAATTAGATTTATTTTGAAAATCGTCAAAAAAAAATACAATATAAAAATACATACAAGAAATATATATATAAATATAAATCCACTGAACCTTTTCATTAAAACTAGACAAAATTTGTATATAACTTTTATTTATATACAAACATGTACATATGCACACACACAGATATATATATATATATATATATATATATATATATATATATATATATATATATATATATATATATATATATATATATATATATATATATATATATATATATATATATATATATATATATATATATATATATATATATATATATATATATTACATTTATAAAATTCTTATAAATTCTTCAAATTAATCCAATTCAACCACTTTAAAAACTCAAAAAATGATATTTTGTTATTTTCATCTTTGTCCATCGATTGTAAAGCACATTCTAAGTTTTGAGAGTTACCGCCAACATCGTAATGAAGTTTCGAAAATTCATCACGATCTAACCATCCACTTCCATCCAAATCATACTTTTTGTAATATTCAACAGCCTTTTGCATTATGTAGAAACGGGAAGTGTCAGTCACGATTTCTAACTTTTCACCGCTTTTTAACCAAGCCTTAAACTCATTAAAGGACAACTTACCATTTGCATCTTTATCTAAAAGCAAAACGTAAGTTTCTACTTGTTCAGGAGAAAGATCGAGATCATCAGTTAACAAGTTTGATAGCTCTTTCACACTAATAAAGCCACTATTATCTTGATCATACTTGGAAAAAAGACTTTTAATAACAATATCAGGAGTGTGTTTGTCAAAATACGACATCTTAAAAAAATGTTTTTGAAACGCACGTTTTTTATTATTATATTTTATTTAGTATTTAATATTTCGCTCCTATTATTTGAAGGTTTTTTTTGCTGCACAGTTGAACGGATATTAGACATGGTGAGCGAAACTACTTTGAACTTTTTTTTTTTACTTTAAATGTCCAAGCTTAATTAATAAGATCTATAGAATAAGAATGTCCAAGCTTAATTAATAAGACCTATTTACTTTTATGATAAAGTTTAATTAAATAACTGCTGATATTGAAAATTATTAAAAATATGTATAAAATTTAAAACGTAAAATTGAATAGTGCAGTGCCGTGGTATAGCGGTTGGAACCCCCTTCCCCTACCCCCCACCCCACAAACACACTAAACACACAAAACCTGTCATTAGTGCCCCTATATCATCACCCAGAAGCATTGCTTAGAAGAGCTTATACAATTCCGCGTGTTTAAAAAAACCAAGGTGAACAAAAGCAGTTAAACAAAATGTATCATCTGGTAGAGTAAACTTAAAAAAATATACATTGGTGGAATAAACTTTACAAATAAAATTGCGCACTTAGGAATAAATGAAAAGTTATCGCCAGATTGTATCGCCAGAACTCTATTATCGAATCATGAGACGCTCACAACGTTTTAAACAAAGTTGTTAACAAGGCCGAAAGTAGCAAGACCAAGGCCACACGTTACAAGGCCAAGGCCAAAAGTTACAAGGACATGGCCAAGAGTTTTAAGGTCAAGACCAAGATTAGGAGTTTCAAGGCCAAAGTCTACGCAGACATTTTCAAGAACATAGACCTCAATTTTTGCCTAACGTTAAGGCAATTAATTAACAAAACTGTAAGTAGCAAGTGCTGTGACAATAAAACCACATTTTGAAAAGATTGACCAAGGTAATGCGCAGAATTCAACGAAAATCAATAAGGAAATATGTATTTTTTTAAATTAAATCAGTTTAAACTTAAAACCTTTTGAAACATTTTTTAAACTCAATTTAAACTTTTTTAAACTTTTATAAGTTTTAAACTTTTAGTACTATTTTATTTAAAATTAAGTAACAGACAAAGAATAAATTTCCCAGTAAAGTTCTGGATTTGTTAAAAAATAAGCAGATTTGTAATATACAAATTAGTTTAAGCGTTATTCTCTTATTATTCGTGTGTTTTTTTTATTTAGCTTAAGCTTTTTTCAGTATTATAATAATGTGGTCAAAAAAAAAACCTAGTGTCATCTAGAAAGTGCGCTTATAAATTTTGAAAATAATAAAAAAACCATTGTAGTATAATTATTTATCTAAAAACTTGTTTAAAACCAGAGTTGTTAGTCCTTGGCCTTGCCTCAAGGCCAAAAATTGAGGCCTTGGCTTTGAAATAGTTGGCCTTGGTCTTGGTCTTGAAAATTTTGTCTTTGTACTTGATTGTTTTGGCCTTGGCTTTAAACGTTTTATTTGTTTAAACGACGTTTGTTTTTTCAAGGTTTGAATTTATAGAAGTTGCCTACAGACATTATTTGTATTATATACCTTCAGTCGATATATGTTTACTAAATTGTGCCAATTTACACTTATATCAGTCAATGTATGTACACTGCGACTACGGCTATGTATGCTGTATGTCTTAGAGCGTATCTTGCCCGATCGCTTGCGTATATTGCATATACTTTGATGTTCACACATTGCCACACTTTGACGCACAGTCAAAGGGTGACAAAGTTTGGCAAGACTATATAAAAGATTTTTCAAGTATTGAAAGTCATAAAAATATATAAGAATGGATTGATTCACTTATTATTTTTTATTATTTAAATTTTAAAATATAAACACAATAAATAAGTATAATTTCAATAAACAAAACTATAGAAAAAAAAAATGGTAATACTACCTCATAAATTAGACTTTGTGGCATCCAAGAAACCACAACATCTTTAATTCAGAATCGCTTCTGATTAGTTGTATTTAAAATTAATTTCATTTTGTGCAGCCATTCAAAATCTTGAGAAATTTTTTTTGTTTGTTTAGAACTCCCCATTTAAATGGCAGGTGAAAGTATTGATCTATTCGTTATATTTCAAACTAAAGAGACCGTCATCAGACCCAAAAGAATCCTCATAACAAAGACGTTTTAAAATAAACCATATTAAAAACCGCTTAAAAGATGACGTCAATAAAAATGAATCTGTTGCCCCATATCTTAAACAAATTGCCCTGTTTAGAATTACTGCAGACTATTTTATTTTTTTAAATTTCTTTGAAATATTCCAACTTTTTCGTTTATTAAAATTTATATTTTTGACCCTCTTGTTTATTAAGATCATCCCGTTATTTGGCAGGTAAGAGTAAAATTTTATTCGTTATATTACAAATTTAACATTACATAAGGCTTTATGTAAATACCTTTATAAATAACCTTTTGTAAATAAGTCCAAAGAAAAGAGGTTACTTTTTTTTTTTTTTAAAATATATTTTTATATCTTACTATGAATGTCGTCTGTTTCAATCTGATTATAAAAGTCTCTTTTGTGATCAGGAAGTATTTTTTTTTATAGGTTCCCCAAGTAGTCCTCACGTTCTTATCACAGAGCACCGCGAAATAGCATTTA